GTATTTAATATTTATTTATTTTGGAGATGTTATTTATTAGATGATATTTATTGCAGAATTTCTATTCTTGTATTAACAATAAAACGCTTGCCCCAGAACTTCATCTCTTTGCTTGGCCTCACCCCTTCTCCTGGCTCTCGTGTCTTGTTCTCCTGGCCTTCCTCTCTGGGCTCCCACACCTGCCAGTGGAGAGCTGGGAGCCCCAAGGTTAGCTCAGGAGAGGCCAAGAGCTTGGGGAAGAGGCCCTGTACCCTATGCCCACCGAGAAGATGTGCACACAGCCGACTTCACTCCTGCCCCTCCATCCACATTGTGCTCCTCCTTTAGTCCTCCCAGATAGCTTCCTGTCACTTACCTTCCTCCTCCCAGTCTGTGTTCGGTCCAACTCACTTCTCTGGGTGACTTTAATGGTCTCATAGGTCTGTCTCCCTGCAGAGCCATCTGTCTGCCTTCCAGGCTCAGCTTCCCCAGGACCCCTACCTGTGACCACCTGCCGGGGCCCCCCCAGAAGTGATCCTCACCTTCTCAACACCCTTTATCTCCTAGGGAGGGCAACAGACCTAGGCCAAGTCATAAGTCTCAGCAGTGATCTGCTCCTTTCTCTCCAACATGAAACCGCAAATTCGAGGGAAGGAGAAACTCGTATTGGACTGTAAACGAATGGGATAGGTGCCATTCAAGGGATGGCCTAAGCTCAAATCCCATGTCCATCATCTACTGGCTGAGTGACCTTGGACAAATGATTTAAAGCTCTCTGTTCTCCAGTTTCCCCATCTGTAAAATGGGAATAATTAAAAACCCTTATAAGAATGTTGGAAAGGATAAGAAGCAATAAATGTAAGATGCTTGGCTGAGGCAGCAGCGATTAGGAATCACAGATGACACATCTACGTGTCATGACATTCTAGTGAAGGGCCACTGGGTAAATCAATGGGCTAACTGCTCCCAGGTAATAGTGGCTATTTTACAAGGGCCTCCTGGAGACAGAGCCCTCAGTGAAGGCAGTAACAACGGATGGTGATGTCAGTCAGTTGACAAATATTTTAAAGACCTAATTACCTGCCCAGCACTGTGCTAACTGGTGTAGGAAAGCCAAAAGAAGTCCAAGACCTGATTTGGCTCCTGCCCTTACGGAGCCCGCAGTCTACCTGGGAAGAGACTGTGCTTACCTGAGATGATAAGGAGCTAAACCATGTGCGCATATGTGGGCGACAGGGGCCAGGAGGTAGTGACAAGTGAGCCACCGGGAAAGGGAGAGGTGGGGCAAGGGAGAGGTGTGAGGGTAGGTGCAGGAGCTATTGGACTTGCTTGTGGGAGGCGTGAGCCAGGCTGTGCTGAAGGTCCCTGAGTCACCTGACCCAAGTTGGTGAGAACGTGCCTATCCTGAGGGCCCCAGTCTCCTCGGGCTGAGATGTCTGCCCAGGCATGGCCCGGGGCACCTGCAGGCCCTGTCTCCAGCCTCACGAGATACAAAGGAGAGGGCCTCCGGGCTGTCTCCATCCAGGGCCTGCATTGTGTAAGGCACCAAGCAAGAGGCGAAACGGGATACAGGGAAAAGGAAGGTAGGTCCCACACTGCTGCACTGCAGGCTTATGGGGGCACGCTCTGCATCTTCTCCATCTCTCTGTCTCAGCACCCAGCTCAGGCTCAAGCTCAAGTCCCAAGAAGTTGTTTCCTTAGTGTGCTGAACAGAACAATCCAGAAAAGGAACCAGTCCCCCATCTCCTACCCCCTGCCAAATGCTAGAATCCAAGGCAGAAGTTGATCAGAAAGACCCAGGCAAAATACTATTCAGGTCAAGAAGGAAGGAGTGACTGCCTCCAGCTGGGTGAGGGCCCTGCTAGTCTGTGAGCCCTGTAGGGGAGGAAACGGCATCTGAAGTCCCTGCTGTATTTCCAGTGCCTAGGATGTGGGATTTGACAGCATGCTTGGAGGATGGGCAGGACAAGGGATAGTTGTGTCTGTCTCCCTTTTAAGCAGGTAGCATCTTGAGGACAGGCTCCACAGTTAATTAATCTTTGCATCCCTGCCGCATTTTAGCATGATGCAGGGCACAGAATAAAGTACTCAATGATTTGATTTAAACTGATTCAAAGAGTGTCAAGACAATAGTGTATTAGAAGCCAAGAAAAGAGAATTTTAAGGAGCCAGCTGATCAACAGTGTCAGATGCCCCCCAGGAACCACAAGAAGACTCTGGGGAGAATCCACTGGCTTTGTAAACAGGAAGTCACGGGTGACCTATGCAAGAACAGTTGAGAGACACATCAAATTGTGAGATTAAAGAAGGAGGTGGTGAGAAGGAAGTAGGAAGGGTGAATATGTTCCCTCAGGAGTTTGGTGACAAAGGGAATACCTAGGGGGAGTAACAGGATCCCAGAAGGTTTTCTGTTAGCTTGGTTGGTTTGCTGCTACTGTTTTTAAGTAGAAGAGATCAGAACATGTTCTTGTTGCATGAGGGGTGATGGCTGGAGAACTGAGAGGTTCGGGGAATAGAATCAGGGACATGCATAGGAGAATGAAAAGGGTTTCTGGGCAGTTATGTGGCACCAGCCAGGTGACATCAGCAAACACATCTCTGTCATGGACCCGTCGGCATGGATTGAGACATTCTTTGACATTTATTTCCTAACAAGCCAGACAGAGGTGGCCAGAGGTGGCCTGAGGTGGGGACAGAGTGAAGAGGGGCCATTTCCCAAGGCTGAGGACTGGCAAGGCAGGACTGGCAGAGAATCCAGAGGTGAGAGACTCCAGAGGGCTAGAACTCGTGCTGTTGACTGGTTGTGAGCCACACAGCACATGCAGGGTGGGTAGCAGAGGGAAACGGGGGTGGGGGCTGGGGTGGCTGCAGAGGAGCATCCAGTCAGAAAGGGCATTTCAGAGTCTGAGTTCTTAAACTCTCCTCCAAACAGTTCCCTGCAGATGATGTCAGGGGTGAGTCCTTCTTGTGGGTTTTGACACTGTGGACCACGGGGCAGGTAGCTCCTGAAAAATGACAGGTCATCCGGCTTTTCTGTGAATGAGTCTCCATTCACACTGAGTCTCCATCCACAGCTGCTTTAGGAGAGGTGATGAGTTTTCATTGGTTATCTTAGGTTCCACCTCTTAAGTATGGTCTCATGGTCACAGGCCTGGGTATGTAGAGGTCAGTTTAAGAACTGGAATACCTGGGACTTCCAGTGTCACGGGGCGGGGGGGGGGGCGATTATCTCTAGAACTCTTCTGTTCCCAGGAAAGCTAGGGAGAATGGGAGAGGAGAGAAGATCCCCCCCTGTCACCTCCAGATAGCATGCTGTGGATAAGAAATCTCATCCTCATCTTGGGTGCCTGGAAACACACCTGTGTTTGAGAGCATGCATACAAGACAGAGAACTGTCACTTGCGGGAGGCGACTTCCAGGATGGTGGTGATGGGAGCGGATATAGCAGGGCCTCTGATGAGGGCTGGCCAGAGGGTGATCATGCCTTGCCATCTTCCTGCTTTTGCAAAGACTGACCCATACCCAGGACTTAGGTGCCCCTTGGTATGTGAGGAGACTCATTCAAGCACCTGTCACACACACACACACACACACACACACACACACCCCTCATCTGCCCACTTGCAAAGGCCACCCCAAATGGGGAAAGGCCAAGAGAGGCTCTTGTTACCCTCAGCCTAGAGGGCAAGGGCTGGTGATCCGGGCCTGGCTTAGTGCTCTGATGGCGGACTCCCTCTCAGCTCCCCCCTCTTCTCTGGAGCCACAATTGTCCCTGCCTTTGTCCCTTCAATTCCGGAGCTCCCTGACTCAGCCTGGTTCCCCAATTTCCCAGCAGTGGACAAAGCCCTTGTCAGTGGGGTGGGGGTGGGGGCAGTGAGGGAGGAACTGTGAGCTTTAGAACTTCAGAGTTCCAGTGCTTTCCTTCAACGTCCTCTCAGCCTTCAGCATCCCTTAGTTTCCCTAGTTCAGAGGTCACCTCTAGGTTCCTCAACTTTCCTCTAATCTCCAAGGTCAGGCTGATGGGTGGAAACTAAGTAGGATCTTCCTCCCAACTGGACAAAGTCTGACACCTCGTGGCCAAGGTGAGGAATGGCCTTTTCAAATCTCCCTCGGACTTCTCTACAGTCATGATGGTCAAGGTGAAAGGGGAGGTGATGGGAGGAGGTTTGGATGGGGTGGTTTGGGACAGGGAAGAAGAGACATCCAACAGCAGAAAACCCAGACCCAGGACAACTTTTGCCTTCCACCAGGCTCCTGCCCCTTAAGCCCACGAGGTCAAGAACCTGGAGCAGGAGGAGGGGTGTGAGTCTGGTGCCCAGAATCTCCAGCTCAGGGTGGGTGGCAGGGCCTGAGGGCCTGAGAAAGCGGGTTGCTGGGGGAAGTCAGGAGAGCAGGCTATACCCCAGAGCCCTCTGGGCTCCAGGCAGCTGCTTCCCTCCCTCCTTCCTAGCTAGCTGCCCCCACCATCCTAGCTCTAGCTGGCTCTCCCTGTGAGCCCCATTGTGAGCTGGGGGAAGGGAAATGGCTCTTAGGGTGCATGCAGAGTACTGAGGCCCCCAACCTGCCACATTGTCTGAGCTAAGCCGGGCCTAATTCCCTTTCCCCTTGGAGCAGTCAGTGGTGGGGCTCCACCCTCAGGAAAGTGAGGGGATGCTGTTCCAGTTCTTTTCTCTTCTTTACTCTTGGGTTCCTCCAAGACTTTGGCCTTGAGTGTTCCCAGGCCAAGGTGCAAAGGTCACTCCTGCTAATCTCATCCCCAGCTTCTGGGGATCATAGAGGACAAGGAACCTAACCCTGGGTCTCAGGAAATTCCCTGAAGGAGTTAGCCCTCTGGTGTCAGACCTCTGGCCAGGCCCTCCAGTGTGAAGCCTGAACTGTGACAGGCCCCAGGGCAGCAGTTTTGCAGACAGGTCAGGAAGTTGCCTGAGAAGGGATAGGGGTCCCAGGAAGGAAGGTTAAAGGAGACAGACAAGGTTGGGGGAGTAAAGAAGGAAAAGACCTGAGGATGGGCAGGCCAAGGTCTGGCCTAGTTGCCAGCACAACTTACGGATCAAGATGTCAAGTCAGGGGAGATTGCCAGTTGGACAGTGATGATTCCCAAACCCCTGGGTGCCAACTCCTTCGAGCCTTGGGGGTTGATCCCACTGCTGTTTGAGTAGCAGGGGCAGGCCATGCTGCCTGGGGAGAGTTCTCTCAACTCCAGGCCAGAGAGCCAGTCCTAGGTGCCTGCACTTGAGCTGACCACCTGGGCTGGGAGAAGCTGAATGAAGGCCAGGGGGAACATCTTCCAGGTGGGTGGGAGAGGCTAGCAGGGCCTGGGCCAGGCAGGGCTGGGGGCATCTGGCAGGGATGGCCCAGACAGTGCCCACAGAACAGGCCAGGGTGTCAGAGAGGAGAGGGAATGAGCTCGGGCGGCAGTAGGAGCCACTGTGGCCGCCCAGCAGCATACCCCATTTCACGCTCCCTGGGCGGTGGCAGGGCCCCACGGCTATCAGCTTTCAGGGGTGGGAGGGACCAGGAATGAGGAGGGGTCTGCCCCACCCACGGTTCCCTATCCCTCAGGGCTTTGTGGGCTCAGGAGTTGGGTGCCACACACTTCTGGGCACGCCTTCTGGGGAGGGGTGGTCAGTCCCACAGAGCCTGGGCACCAGCCCTCTGTGGAGTATTCAGTGCCTGACTGTACCCCACACCTACGCCCGTCCCATGCCTGGTGGAGAGGGCCTCCCTGTTCCCCTCCCCAATGCAGCAGAGCCCCTGTCTCCCTCACTGTGGGCCCCACTTAGTCCAGGAGGCAGATGGGGGGATTAGACAGGCCAAGCCCAAACAGTAAAGCAGGGAAGGGCCCTCCAGCTCTGTACAGCGTGCCCACAAGCTCTCACTCTTCCACTCAGCCCTCCTCAAGGAAGGGATGGGGAGAGCCAGGAGGGAGGAAGCCCCTGAAGACAAGGCCTGTTCTGCCCTCTCCTTTGGTGGTCTGCTCCCCAGAGCGTTCTCTTCCCTCAGGCACAGTCTCCTCCTAATGTAGAGTGCCCAGACCCTAGAGCAGTGGGAAAGGGGCAGGCAGAAGCCTCTGAGCCTCTCTAGAGGCCGATTAGAGCTGGGCTGGTCCCCGCACTGATTCCCAGACTCCCACTGGCCAGCACTTCTGCCTGCTGCCAGGAAGTTGGTGAGGAGGAGGCGGGTATAGGGGTGAGTCAGCAATGTCACGAGCCCAAGGGACAAAGGTCATGGGTGGAGAATTGAGAGACACTGTTTACAGCAGCCCACCTCCTCCAGGGGGTCTTTCAGGGCTAAGCCAGCCCTGTGGTCCAACCCATTTCTGACCCACCTTTCCCCTTCTTCTGTTTGTTAGGAATTTTATCCTTGCACTGACAATTTGCGTGTCCATCTGCTTGCCCTTTCGCCTGTGAACTCCTGGGGGGCACAGAGGGACAATGGTTTCACTGGGGTCACACAAGTCCTGTGACTATCAGCACTTCCTACTTTCAAGAACCATTTTACGTCTATTTTAATTGAGCGAGTATGTGGGAAAGGGCTCAGAACAGTCCTTGGCACGCTGAAAGTGTCATGTAGGGTTATTGTTGGTACTTTCTACTCATACTCTCACATTAGTGTGAGGCAACAAGGGCAGATTTTGCTGATGAAGGACTGGGGATCTAAACATACTCTGGCCTTCTCAGCAGTGTGGAATCTTCCTGTCTAGGAGAGCAGGCAAGGGCAGTCTGTGAGACCCCAGGAGAGCCAAGGAGGCAAGCACTTGCCTGGACTAAAAGCCAACAGTGTCTTTGGGTGCAGACTGAGAAAGGAGACTTCAGAACCCATGGGCTTCTCCAGCCAGGTCTCCTGGGGCTGGTGTGGGTGGGGTGAGAGCACGGAAGGGGTCTGGATTAGCCCCAACTCTCTTCGGACCTCCAGACCTGCCCCCACAACACTCAGCGGGCCAAGGGGCGGGAGTGGAAGTCTCCATCTGGGCTCTGGGGAGTTATAAACTGGCCACGGGGATTAGCGAGGCTGAAAAGAACATTTGCCTAGGAAGGGTAAACGGGAAGTGAGAGGCTGAGGATAACGCTCTGTGAAGTCCCCCGAGACCCGCTGCAGACCAATGTGGGGGCAGGAGGAGGTGGTGCAGTCTGGGGCATCATGACAGGTCCCCCACCCACTGCCTCACCCATTCTCCCCCACCCCAGAACACAGCTGCACTTGCAGCCCCGCCCCCTCTGCCTGTGCCGCCTGCCATTGGCTATAGCCAGGCCCCGCCCCACAGAGGCGGACTGCCATTGGCTTAGGTCTTTGCTGTTTGCATGTTTGTGGGGGTGGGAGGGAGGCGTCATTCCCTGGAACCCTCGCACTTCCTTTCTGCTTGTCTGGGTCGTCCGTCTGCCCGTCGCTGGCCCCAGGCTCGCTCTCTGGCCCCATCTCTCTCTCACTCTCTCTCTCAGCAGCTGTCTCTCTCGTGCCCGCTGGCCTGTCTCTCCTTCCCGGCAGTCGCCTCCTTCTCCGCCTGCCTGGGTGGCCGCCATGGGCCGGAAACGGCTCATCACTGACTCCTACCCTGTAGTGAAGAGGAGGGAGAGCCCCGCTGGGCACAGCAAGCGGGAGCTGGCACCAGAGCTAGGTCTCTGAGGTGTGGGAGGGCGGGAGGAGTGGACGCGGGGGACATGAGAGGCCGTGGGCAGTGGAAGGGAAAGTGAAGTATGTCCTCTACTTCCTACAGCAGGCCTGGGAACGGATAGCAGAGGCAAAGGGGTGGTGAGGGCTGGGGAACAGTGGGACAGGTGTGAGGTGAGGGGAAGGAGGCCAGCTCCGCAGGACACAGGCCTGGGCAGGCCTCAGGAGCAGCATGTCATTGCAGGGGAAGAGCCCCAGCCCCTGAGCGTGGATGAAGCGGAGCTGGAGCTGCTGAGGCAGTTTGACCTGGCCTGGCAGTATGGGCCCTGCACAGGTGAGAACCCCCTCAGGCCCCAAGAGCATGTCCCAGAGCCAGAACTGTCACCCACACGTCTATGAAGCAGCTCTGGCCCCTGCCTGACTCTCTGCACTGTCTCCTGAGACTGGGGGGTGTGGAGGTCCTGACATACCCCTCCACACATTATCTAGCCTAGACTCTTCCTTGCCCCAACACGAGGCCCCAGTGTCTTCTTTCCACCCTGGCAGGGATCACACGGCTGCAGCGCTGGCATCGGGCAGAGCAGATGGGCTTGGAGCCTCCCCCAGAAGTCCGTCAGGTGCTGTGTGCCCACCCTGGAGATCCCCGCTTCCAGTGCAGGTCAGAGACAGGCCAGGGAGGGCTTTCAGGGGAGCCAGGGACTTCTCTAGGCACCACCAGCCTGCTGGCCCCGGATGGGGGCTGTCTTGGCCTGAGGGAGAAATAGATGCAGCCTTGGGGGTCCTTGCTGAGCAGGCGAGAAGATTCTACAAGGTGCCTGGCTCAGGAGGCAAAAGCTTGTTTTAATAATTCTTATGCCTGAGCTCATGGTGGAGGAAAGGTGCACCCAGGGCCCAAGGTACTATTTAGTACTAAGAGCCTGGCCAAGGGCTATAGGACATGGCCAAGAACTGGGGCTGGTGAAATCAGATCAAGAGACTTGACTGACTCTGGTTTCTCCCTCCATCTCACACCCCCTCGCACAGCCTTTGGCATCTCTATCCCCTTTGACACATCGCCTAAGACCTCCTGCCCGCCACTTGAGAACCTCAGGACACAAGCAAGAGCCAGTTGCTGCCCCTCGGCTCAGCTCTGCTGTGGAGAACGTTTGGCAGGAAAGAGTGTGATCACAGGGAAGGAAAAAGGCTGTGTCTGGAGGTCTCTGCGGCTCAGCCCTCCATCTAATGAGCAGGCTCCCAGTGCCCTCTCTGAGAACCCACACGGCTGAAGCCAGCCACTTCCAACATGGAGAGTGGTCTCTGAGGATGAGGACTTGGCCATGAGCCTTTGGAAGCCCACCACACGCCTGACCTGAACACTGTGGTCCTTGGGATGGTGCAGCCGACTCGGTGCATCTTTGGGCAGAACCAGACTCAGGCAGAAGGCAGATGATCTAAGAGGCAAAGTTGACCTCCCCACCTCAGGCTGGGACTCTGAGGGCAGAACTGGCTGAGCTGACGGGGCAAGGGGTTCACTAACACTTATCAATAAAGAATACTGAGTCTGGAAGCCTGATCTCCAGTCCCTTAATGTGGTCCTGCTTGGGCTGGCAGCACCCAGCAATCTGATAGCTGGAGAGAGCCAGCACCACGCTTTCCTGCAAGGTGTACATGCTTCTTCCACTGCCTAACCCTCGACCTGAGAAGGAGGAAAGACACCTTAAAAAAAACCCAACGGACAAGTCCTCACAACGCTGAGCAACCTCTGGCGCCCCCTGGTGGTAACCAGGAAGACTACCCTAGCCACCTTCACTGGCCAGCCAGGAAAAACCCACCACCTGGCCTGCCCAGTGTTGCACACCTCACAAAAATCCTTTGTCAGAGCAGGATCCAGGGGACCCATGACTCATAAGGTCCAGACAGACATATACATTCCCAGCAAGCACCTCTACTTCCCACATGGGGGCTACCTGGATCCAAAGCTGGGTTAGGGGTGGGATTCCACCCATAGGACCTGCCCAGAGATGGCCATCATCTGAGGAGCTTTGGTAGGGAACTGGATGGTCCTGAAGATGGAGGAGAAATAGCTGTATTTAGAAACAATGCTTAAGGGACCCTGGGATGGTATGACATGGAGACTGGAATCAGTACTCCTTATAATGGTGTTACCTTCATTTGATGTATCGGCCCTCCGTCCTGGGGTGGAGAAACAGAACCATGAACTCCTTGGAAGCAGGCCTAGACAGTGACCAGGGAGCCTTTTTTAGCCCCCAATTTATCGAGCACTGACCATGCCTCAAGTGCTTTAAATATATTACCTCTAAACTTCCTAAAAAACCTTCAAGGTAGATTTTACAGAGAGGGAACCTGAAGCCCAGAAAGGTTGTGCAAAATTGTCCAGAAGCACCAGCAGGTATGTGGTCGTGCAGAGATGAGGGGCTCTTCCCGTCTCTTCCCTGCCCCTGCCCATCTGCTGAGCACCTGCCATGAGCTGGGCTCTAGAAGTCCTCTTGGGAGTTATTAGTGGGGAGGAGACAGACAAAAACAAACATGTAAATAGTATGTCAGGCCGTGGTAAGTGCTAGGCAGAGTTAGGGTTAGAGGTCAGAGAAGGCCAAGGGTGCTGGAGAGGCAGCTCAGGGAAGGCTCCCTGACAGGGCAGCATCTGGGAGTGCTTCCGGCAGAAGGAGCAACAGGCCCACACTCCCCAAGGCATGAGTGTTTCCAGTCCGGTCAAGGAGCAGGCGGAGGCCAGCGGGAGCAGAGGCAGCGCAGGGAGCGGGGGTGGGGGAAACAAGGCCAGAGAGGTAGCAGGCAGGTCCCATAGGGCCTGGTAGGACAGGATAAGGAATCTGGATTTTATTCTGAATGAGAGAGGAAGACATTGGTGGGTTTTAAGGCAATAAATGACAATCAAACTTACGTTTTGAAAACATTACTCTGATTGTTGGTGAACAGCTTGTGGGGCTGGGGAAAGAAGAGGCAACACAAACACTCAGGAGGCTACTGGAGTTGGCCAGTGGGAGGCAGTGGTGACTTAGACCAGGGTGGGAGACAGAGGTGGCAGGAAGTGGCCAGCTTCTTTCTACATTTTGAAGGGAAAACTAACTGACAGGACTTGCTGATCCGTTAGCTGTGGAGTTGAAGAGAAAGAGAGGAGCAAAGGATAACTCCAAAAGTTTTGGCTTGAGCAACTGGAAGAACAGAGTTCCCATTACTAAGACAGGAAAGATTGTGGGAAGGGGAGGGTGGGGTGGGGAATTAAGAGTTCAGATTTGAAGTCTGTGACACATCTAAGATGGGGAGTAGGCAGTGGATATGCAAGTCTGGATGTGAGAGAGAAATCTGAGCATCTTTCAGGTGGTATTTAAAGCCATGTGTGTGGGTGAGATGACCTGAGTGAGTATAGTTAGAGAAGAAGTGGTCTCAGCACGGCCCTGGGACCTTCTATGCTTAGAGGGCATGTGGCAAAGGAGACTGAGGAGTGGCAAGACTGGCAGAAAGCCAGGTGACGGTGGGCCTGGGAGGCCTGGGTGGAGGGTGTTTCAAGGTCTCAGATGCTTCTGAGGGGCTGGTAAGATGAAGCCGGCAAACAGCACACTGGACTTGGTCATGCAGAGGTCACTGCAGACAAGCGGCATCCATGGGGTGACAGGGATGAGTGTGCCTCGAGTGGGCTCAGAGGGAAGGATGGCAGACGTGGAAATGGGGTCGTGCCAGTTGTTTCAGGGATCTTTTACTGTAAAGGGAGAAGAGAAATGAGTGGTAACTAAAGAGGATGTGGGATCAAGGAAGGTTGTGTTTTTTTTTATCATATTATTCTAGAATTTTTTTGGGCAAGGGGGAGGTAATTAGGTTTATGTATTTTCAATGGAAATACTGGGGATTGAACCCAGGACCTCAGGCATGCTAAGCATGTGCTCTACCATTTGAGCTATACCCTCCCCGCTAAGGAAGGGTTTTTATTTGTTGTTTTGTTCCATCTTTTGTTTTAGATAGAGTGATATTACAGCATCAATTACATGGAGAAGAGAGTGGTCCAACAGGGAGGGACACTGAGGCAGCAGAAGACAGAGGAGGCAGTTGTGTGAGCGAAGTCTGTGAAGGGCCAGGACTGGTACACAAGGAACAGTGTGGCCTTAGGTAGGAGCACCCACCATGGCAGGGAGGGAGGCAGAGGCTGTGGGAGTGGATACAGGGAGAGGGATATGGTTGGGGGTGGGAACACTGGAGCATCAGATGTTTGCTCACAGCCTGGACTGGCTGGAAGGGATGTGATATTTGTTAAGTGCCAATCCACGCCATCTGCTGCACTTAACATTATCTCATTGACTGCTCAGAACAATCTCATTAAGTGAGTATTATCCACTTCCACAGATAAGGAAACTGAGGCTGAGAGGAAAAGTGACTGGCTTAATCAATAAACACCAGGGCCCAATTCCCACCCAGGTCTGTCTTCCCGCTGTGTCACTGCACCTGTGCTCCAACCCACACCTGTGCTCCAGGTGTTCAGGATGGCATCGACAAGATAAGACCTACCCGTGGAGAAATTAAAAAATAATGTAATACAAGTGCTACCTTGGGGCAAGTAGGAATGGTGTGAATACAGTTCTCAGGAAGGAGAGAGACCACATGTTAAAGAGACCCTTGCTGCAAGGGCCCAGAGCAGAGGACCGCCATGCCCTGCAGCACTGCCTAACCTCTTCTGCTGGCCATGTCCCTGCATCTCAGACCTTTCCATGCAGAATGAAAGCAGACTTGCCACTGGGGCTGGGGGTTGGGATGGCCCGAGACACCGACACTCTGAATATTCTTAAGCAGTTGTGTGTTTTATCTTTGGCCAATTTTGCATTCTACTCCATGATATATCTGGAGCAGTTGCTGTAACAGAAAAACAGATGAACCTACTTATCAAGTAAAATGAACCCCAGGAAGATGCGATCATGTGTGGCCTATGACTGGTTTCATATACCAGTGACACACCCTCTATTGCCCAGCTGAGGTCGAGCAGCATGGCAGAAAGCACCAAATAAGTGTTTATCGGAAGGAAATGGGAGGTCAGTGGCCCTTGAAGGGTGAGTAAGAATCCGCAGACAGAGAAAAACATTCTAGACCGAGGGACTGGGCTGAGCAAAAGTAGTGAGGAGAGGTGGGTGTATGTGCCCAGGGGAGAGGTGTGCAGCCTGCAGCACTTGCTCTATGAAAATCAGTGCAACCAAAAGCCAGCATTTCGGTGCTTGCTATGTATCCAGTACTGTCCTAAGTGCCTTTTATCCTCAAAGCAGCCCTAGAAATGATTCTAGACATTTTATAAAGCAATTTTAATGAGGAAATTCAGGCACAGAGAGGTTAGGTACTTGCCCAGGATCACACAGCATGTAAATATCAGGAATAGGACTTGATCCCAGAGTCCTGTTGCAGAGACTGCACTTCTGTCACATGGGATAATGCTGGTGAGGTCCTCTGGGACAAACACAGGTGCTTGAGCCTGAGGCAAAGGAGTTTGGGTTCATCCACGATGATAAGAATGCCTGAAGGTTTTTGAGCAGGAGAGAGACAGGATAAAATAATCATTTCAGAGAATCTTTCTGACCAGGTACAAGCTACAAAATATTCAAAACATGGGTGCTGAGACCCTGATTAACAGACAGTGCGAAGGACAAAGAGTTATGGGAGGTTGCAAAGGAAGTTGGCAAGACTTGCACCTGGGAAGGGAGGGATGGGGAGGAGGCATCAAATGACTCAGGTTTTGAGCTTGGGTGGGCGAGAGGATGCTGGTGCCACAGACCAAAAAATGGAAACTGGGAGGGGAAGATAGGATTGATTTCATGCATGCTTAGTTTGACATGATGACAGGACATCCAAATGGAAACATCTAGTAGGCAATGAAAACCTAGAGGTCAAGTCCAGCAGCAAGGTCAAAGGAGAGTGTGGTACCCACGGGACAGAGGGGAATCACCTGCCTAGAACTGACATTTGAGCCCATGAGTTCTCTGAGAGAGGAAACAGAGACAGGGAGAGGGTACAAAGATAGGACCAAATCTGGCACTTGGGAAAATACTCTCCAGAAGGTGGAAGAAGCTCAGCAAAGAAGAGGGGAGAGTGTCAGAGAGGCAGGAGAGACGAGGTAGAGTTGTGTCTGCAAGTTCTTGAGAATCTCACAAGTGGCAGTGGCTGGTGTGATGTGCTGAGATGCCAAGGAAGAAATCATCAGCAGGAGATGGACAGGTTACAGATGGCTCACCCTAATTCAGTCCCCATATTTCCTGCTTCCCTCTGGCCTCGTCATAGTAACTACCATGCCACACCCATCAATGAGGGGCGCACTGATTCATTCTTTATTGACTCAGGTGTGGCAACATTTATCCACTCTCAAACTCACTAGTAGTGTGAGGGCTTAAGGCACTAATTTACCAAGAAACTTGAGTAAACAAGGAAAAGGAAGACGTTTCTGAATTAGCTGAGAAGTAGATGGAAACCACAACAGTGCCCACTTGAGGCGAATGTGGGTGACCACCACCTCTAGGACTTCTGGGACCCTCAGCATGATTGCTAGTTTTCTCTGCAGGT